CACAGTTGTAGTAGAAGTATAAAGAACGGGGAGGAAGCAAAGATTACAAAAAAGATGTGTTCCAAGTTGCAGTTTTGTTGGCAGATGTGGGTATCAATTACCAGGATGGCAACCCAGCGGGGGAATGACTGTGTCGTCTGAATGTCAACTAATCGACAGCAATTTCCCACGTCACTGTTTACGGCATCTCTCTATATTTAATATTTCTGTAGCTACTCGAGAGGCGGGAGTTTGTGAAAAGAAGTCAGTTTAGCAAAAGGGAGCAAGCACCTCCTGTCTGCATTGCGAAATATCATCAGGTGATATACCTAAAAAGCTTAACCCGGATCCCACTTTCGACATGCGTCATATGTTGCAAGCCGCAAACACTGACTTGTCCTGATTGTTAAAAACTTATATTTTCCGTCTTGATGACTGGACGAGACCTAACATGCATTACACACACACCCCATCGCTGCATACTGGATAGTTGTCTAGCTGGTGACAGAAAGTCTCTAAATTCGAGTATGATAAACTGCACACGACTAAATTTGTGCGCAGTTTTAAACCTTTCATCGCACTTGCACATTGTCATAGCTCTATTTTACCCCATACAAACGCATTTTTACTTGGCCACGTTCTACTATTTAACAAAACTACGCATCGATCACGTCCGACTGTTGCTCTGCTTCAAGATTTCAACATTAGCGCAGCCATAATCGTGCAGCTCGATCGCATATCGAAAAAAAGAATCTTTCTAGACTATCAATTATGCACATTCAGTGGTCCAATCAGATCGTGTCTTTTTCTTAGCAAAAATGCTGGTAGAATCCACGAAGCCGCACCGCATGAATATAAAGCCAAGATCCAAAGAGCCGTATTAAAAGTGCCTACAATGGGTTGCATAGAGCTCATCCAAGCTCGATTTAATCTCACCAACAGAGCTTGACCTGACACAGTTGTAGTAGAAGTATAAAGAACGGGGAGGAAGCAAAGATTACAAAAAAGATGTCCTAAGTTGCAGTTTTATTGGCAGATGTGGGTATCAATAACGAGAACTGCGACCCAGCGAGGGATTTGTCGTGTCGTCAAAATGTCAACCAATCTACAGCAATTTCCTACGTCACTGTTTACGGCATCTCTCTCCATTCAATATTTCTGCAGCTACCTCGGAAAGGTAAAAGCACTTCTTGCCTGCATTGCTTGATTTCATAACGTGATATACCTAAAAAGGCTTAATCTAGATCCCACTTTTGACGTGCGTCATATGTTACAAGCCGCAAACACAGACATGTTTTGATTGTTAGAATTTTAAAATTTCTGGCTTGATAACTGGACGAGACCTAACACACCCCATTGCTGCCTGCTGGATTGTCGTCTGAAGATGGTGACGGAACGTCTCAGAAGTCGAGTATGATCCACCGCACACGACTACGTTTGCGCGCTGCTAGAAACATTTCATCGGTTGCCCGGCTGAATAGAACGCTACTATACATGATTGTAGCGCGCTGATCAGGCCACTGTCGTACATTAAGCGTCGATAACATCTGAATGTTGCTCTGCTTCAAGTTTTCATTATTAGCGCCGCCGTGATAGTGCATATCGAAGAAATGGAATCTTTTTTTTCTATCATCAATGCACATTTAGTGGACCACTCAAATCGTATTTTTCTGCTTGGGATCTGCAATAAGTGCTAGGTTTTTACAGCGAGGGTAAGGGCCATGACATAATCATCTTGGCGAGCATAATCAGTATACAATCTTAGCCTTTTTCTCGTTATTATTTTAGCAATTTAATAAAATAAAATGAGGCCCAAAGGTATCACAGTGAAGTACTACGATAAAATATCAAGATTGATGTCGAAACGGATACAAACAAATTATCAAAACGAGGTGCAGGTACGATGGGTATGGATGACGCCTATAAGTATGTGTCAAGGGGACGACTCGGCAGGTTATGCAGTATAAATAATTGTATTAATGTAGATCGTAAACCTTTCTACTTAAAATATGTCATCTGAAAATAAAATCAAAGAAGTCCTTGGTATTTGTAAGGAAGGCCCTTGGTCACTGACCTACATGAAGTGTACAAACTCATCCTCTGTGTGTTTTCCAACGCGATCTGCTATAGTCAAAGCAATGGGCAAACTGCGCGGCAATTTCGTTGCATGCTAAGAATTAGCGGGCTGTAATCAAGGCCTGAGAACTCCCATCGCCGCTTTTATGAAAATTAAAATGTTACTACAACAGGGCTGCCAAGCGCCGCCTACAGAGGCAACTTTGATCATGAGTCTGCACTGATAAGCGAACAAGGTATGGATTCCTATCCTAGCACTACTGCCTAGTTTGCAGGGTGATTTATACATCAAAAGCAAATTTGATTTAGCTTGATATCTACAATCATAAAAACTTACGTTCTGCACAACATAAACGATCGATTTATTCGAATCCGGACTTTGAATTGCTTGGCTCGAATCCTAAGCGTAATAAGGCAAGTGTTGTTCACCCCCCCCCTCACGCATTTGGTTCAATTGTATTGACACGATACGCTTCAATACTACGACAATTATATACGCCCAACCGCGAGTATTCGAGAATAAGAGGTCCAAGGAGCAGGTGGACCGCTAGCAGCGTAAAAAAACAGGTTTTATACGAGATAGTTACACGTATATGTTGTATTGACCTTTATATGATATAGAAAACCTCAAATAGTTAAATAAATGATGGAGTTTGATAATTTGAGGCTATCAATTTCAATCCTTGAAGGATCGCGTGAACGAAGCTCTGTGCATTTTAACACAACCTATGAGAGTCAAAGCTACCTCTGTGCAAAGTATACGGCAACTCCATCGAATCTGATAGCTGTTTAAGCCAAGATCACGACCGAGCCGCGGAAGGATTGTATTCTCAGACAGGATAAAACATGTGCGAGACAAACAAGCCAGCTTTACCAGCTATGACTATCGTGAGTCCCAAATGAATAAGAAATTTGGCGAACAAAGTGCCAAGAGCGATAATTGCTCGTGTGGACGCGCTCACTTTCGTGAAGAATGCAATGGGTAGGCACATTCAGGGGCGACAATGAAGAAACATCTGGCTCCCGCCGTGAGATCGCTAATGTTGATCCTCATGTCATTTCAAGGCCGGGATCAAGACCATATGTTCTTCAGAATTAGAAAATTGACATTACCATCGTGCTTACGATCCTCAAGCTAGGAGGTCGAGCACAAGACTGAACGTTTTCCCTCGATAATTAAGCATTTTCAACTTGACACGACTTCAAGCAACCGATGTTGTTGATAAGAAATTTGGCTGCGCTGAAGTTATTGTCTCCCCGTCATGGGACGCGGGAACTGGCAAACTTTGTCCAGAAAAGAAATTGAACTGCCATAATGGCGTTTTAATCTCCTCCAGGGTGTAATGGGATACACTTAGCCCTTCCATGAAGGTGCATCTATGTACCTTCTGTATGGAGTTTAAGATCTTTTAAAAAGGGGAAAGGTTACAGACTGATATTCCCACATGCATACGTAACATATCACAAGCAGTCACAGACGTTCTGTGTGATACAGACCGCTAATTCCTATTTGGGGCTTCGTACTGGGGATGAGACCGACATATCCTTGTCTTCTGAAGTAAGTGGCGTAAGCCAGTCACTTTACTGGATACTTTCCACAACAGTTCAAGTTCGAGTTTAAGCTCAGTAAAACCCAAGATCTTGTATAAGTCCAAGCTGGGTTCAACCTCAGTACTCTTAATTGTATAATAAGGGTTCATAGGGCCCAAGGATTTTATAATAAACGCAAGAAGCCGTTGATGTGTTTGCATGTAGCTCTAGGAGCCATAAACGCATTCAATTTAGTTGCAAATTTGCTTCAAGCCTTCTAGTCGCTTGCCTCTCCCGCCAAGTCAAGACTGTTTCTCTCTTTTCACATCGCTTTCTCGTCGCACAAGTTTGTGTGTTGTATTTGAGGGACTGTTGCGAATAGCTACCTCTTACACCGAGGCAATGGAGGATATCATCGTCATGGTCGCTCTCATTATAAATGTGGCTTGCACCGAGATCTCTCGCACCAGGTCTACCTCTTAAATGAAGCGAGGGTGTCGAATACAATGTAGGGTACCGTGACGGTATGATGGGGTACTGGGAATGTAATTCTATGAGCGTGCTAGAGGCGATGAATCTCAGCATATTGATGAGAAGGAGTACATGTTAGCAGTTTGCGGTACTAGCGGATGTTTTATCTGCGGCAGTACCAATCATCTGCGTCTTACGTGCCCCCTTTCATATTGGCCGAGAGGTTTAAAGGGTCGAGATCTTATGCAAGAGTTCCCGACGGGGAAAGGTATAGTTCCAGAAGGCCAGATTGGCTTTATTGTACCTCCTGGAGGTTGTGGTAAAGACTTTATTGTACCTCATGGCGTTCGTGGTTGATGCAACCCAGCTCAAAATGACGCGACTTTTTCAAGGAGAAGGGGTTGTTGGTTGTTGAAATCAACGTCCCGAGCTATGTGAAGCCGTTAAAAGTCCTGATAAATTCTGGAATAGCTTTAAACTACGTGCGACGCGCGACTGTCGAAAACATAAATAGTACGCGGAGTTTATGAAGTAGTCAAATATTGAAACGATATCCGAACGTCTTGCAACGGGGAGACTGGCAGGAGAACTGAAGGTATGTTGCACCTTTGGGCGAAGAATGAGGATCATGACATTATCTGCTCCTTGACCTACATCAAGATACGCTATCATTCTAGTTTGCGGGTCACGAAATTGACCTTGTTTGAAAGCAGAAGTGGTTTTGGCTCAAAGCTGTCACAGTTTTTTTGGACTAGGATAAATTAAAAATGGGAAGCGGCTAACGGCGTGCTTCGAGCAGATCTCGCGGTAGTAGGCCGAGGTCTCAGGATGAGATGGAAAAGGGAATTGTATATTGCAGTTATTAATGTGTATCTCTGTTAAGACAAAAAATGGAGGTTGTATGTTGTGGTCCTTAAAGTATATCTCTGGCAAGACAGTAAAGAATAGCTTTAGACTGTTGTCTCTTATGAATCACTGCTGCAAAATTACATACCAGAGCTTAAGCAGTTGGTGAACGACTGTAAGTCGCGAGTGGGGAGAGGTCTATGTCCTGAAGAAGAAGGATTATTCATCCTTGCCACAACATAACGACAGGTGAGTTAGCACTACCGTGTGACGTGCCCATCGTACTGATGACTAAAGCTTCACAGATTAGTAGCGACAGAAAGTCTCACTTGTGACAAGATTGACCTGTGTGGTTCTAGGGGCCGTAAGCTCAGGTAAAAGCTATAATAGAGCTGAGAGTATTATCTTTTGGGGATATGTGCAAGACATAAAGGTCGACATAATAGCGTTAACTATACCAAAGGAGAATCAAGGTCTCGTCATCTGTCACGAATGACGCTATCATAAAGACAGTGAGTGCGAGGAATGGGACATATATCCGCAAATATTTTTCTAGAGTCCGTTCAAATTTTCTTGGATTAATATCACGAAAAGATCGACCACAGATAATTTCCCAGATTGATGAGTGCGTCACGATGCTGAATCGGCTCTCGTGACCAATCTTTGCGGCAGATAACAATAGGCTTAATCAAGTAAAGAGTGTCACATCATTCACGCTTTTTTCATGCGTAGCGAGTTTGGTTGGAAAAAGTTAATCTCTACACTCGGTGTCTACCCTCTGTGTCAGGAGTCACGAAGTGGCAACTTGTGCATGCTTATACATCAGCTGAATGCATCGATGGTATAGCGCAAGCGCCGATATCTAGAAAAGTTGGGCTATAAAAGTGCGCGATCGGCTGCTCTTGTCCAGTGCCTTCGGCCCATTCGACAGTTGTTTAACTCCTAATGAGTGACGGCGATATCGTTCTCACTGCGGCAAGCATTTTAGGTAGTGTGCTCTGGGAGCGGCTGGGTAGCGCACAGAGAATTTCAGATTTACCAGCAAAGTTCAATCGTCTGGTGGCGCAGCTGTTCAGGCCAGGTTGAGGTTATACACACGCTTTTCTGATGATACGTTCGTCTATTGTCGTACAGTGTGTCGGAAGTTGGATGTAGACACCCACAATTAATACCTGCACGCAGCGCTCGAGTGCATGCGCTCAAATAAGCTATCCATCATTATATCTAACTGTGCTTTTGGTGCCTACGAAATCCCTTCTCTAGATAGCTTCGTTTAGCAGCAGAGCCTGTGGGCGGATCCTGCCTCAATAAAGGCCCATGCGAATTGGACTTTCAAAAGACTTGAGAAAGTGGCGTGGTCTGGCCTACAAATTTGCAGCGCACTGTGCAAAATATGACAAGCTTTTCCGTTAGGACACAACCTTTCACCAAACTCCTAAATAAAGCTGTTAATTGTGTTCAGGCCCGCTGAAATCACGGCATCAATGGCTGTGAGCAAAATCGTCATGCATGCCTTAACTCAGGCTCTTTCAGACCTAGAATGGCCATTTAACAACGTCTGTGATGCTTCAGCCTTTACATTTGGCTGCGCTTGGCTCCAAGTTGATACTAATGGGCATAGACGCGTGTTTGCGTTCAAGTATTGTCGCTAACGAATGATTAGAAGATCAAAACTGTT